AGGTATGCCACTTGTATTAGCATCATCCTTACGGGATGACTACAAGCCGAGCGTTGGGCGTGATGCCGCTGTCTGAACAAACGCAATGGGTCCGTATGGTATTGGCACAGCCAACAGGAACGGTGACCGGCTGCTCTCACTGTGCGCCACTCTAGGCCTAACGATCACGAACACATAGTTTGAATGGAGTGCGAGTGATAAAGTAATTTGGACGCATCCATGGAGTGATCACGCTCACGTGCTCGACTATGGTATCGTACGTCAGCATGACATGCATGAAATGCGCATGACGCGTGTACTGCTTGTAGCTGTGTGGCACTGATCACAAAGTGGTGGGGACCAATTTGTTCATGTTTTCGTAAATCTATGCATTGCACTCATTGCGGTAAACCGGCGGAAATATAGCGTTCTTTCCCTGTGTACAGCGGAGAAGAGGATAGAACTGGAGAATCCGATGGATACCCCCCATGTTGATGTCGAATCCACAGCTACAGTGGGTGACCTGTGGCAACATATCCGTGAACAGGTGACGGCTGCTGCCGAAGAAAGGATCGGGCCCGCAAACTGTAAGCAGCCCGATTGAGTTGATAACAAAAGTGCGATCAATGGCGTATTGATGTCGGCGAAGAATGCAGCGTTCGCTGCACATGTGGCGCACCATGCTAACTGCGAGGAGTTATTTTCACGAACTTCGATGGCGAATTTCTCGAGAGCTCCGTCGCATCAATAGTGAATGCTAGACAGAGGTGAAGCAGATGGAATGCGACGCCGATGGCAAGAAGTCAGCGCCGATAGCCAGAGCATAACAAGAGAGCGGTTGCCCCGGCGCAAGAGAAACTACTACTGCGTGCGGAAAACAAACGTCGGTTGAGAAAGCGACAGGTGCCGATGGTGCATAGCCCATCGACGATGAGCGCGTTGTACTGTAGCATGTGCGGTCGCGAGTGCCTCAGCGAAGAGGGCGTGGTAAGCCAGTAGTGCCGCTATGTTGGGCCAACATCTAAGAGAAGACGAGTATGCTAAACGTGTAGTCATCATCAGCGAGGCGCTTGGTAAGTACGCTGCTTCCGATGCAATTTACTAACTCAGGTCAAGGAGGCGGTTGACGTGGCACGTGTGCCGCATCGTCGTTGCAGTTGGGCTGTGCGTTCGTATGGGTGTTAAGGTACTTGCCCCATGCTGAGGCTAAGGTTGCATTCATGATGTTTCTTCACCGCAGTTGCGCTAAACCAACTTACACTTAAACTTGGTCTTTTTACGCTGGACAAATTCCATTCCACTTTATTCGGCATGTTCTGCCTATCTGAATAATCTTCTATTAACTTGAACACGTTGCTTACGCTAATTGAGGTTATCTTTGTTAAGTTTATCACATTTGTAGAATTTTTTGAACAACTTGTGGACATTTTGTACTAATCGCGGATTCGTTGATAACCAACTTACTTCAAATGTTAATTTAGCGAAGAGTTATGTTTGCATAACCGTACACTTTAACAGATATATTTTATTTGATAACGCTATTTCAAAACACTGGCTGTTGCTTGATATCCCCGGTGTGGCTGCGCTTGATGTGCATCTTGACAAGGTGCCTACCTGTCGATTACCCACTACCTCGTCCATACTCGCTCAGGGAGACCGTTGGTCGTTGCTGAAGAGGACAGGGTGCACGGTCCTTGTGGCCGTGCTAGGCTCGAAGAGTGGTTCCATGCACTCAGTGTGGAGCGGACTACGGTCCAGCCAACGCCTTATGTGTGTCTGAATCCCCAAATACAGCGTGCTTGTGTTTGCTTGTGAAGTGTGGACCGGCTCTCTTGATGAAACCTGGCTTCCATCCACATGCCTCCTGGTCTAATTCCTTCGGGTTTACATTGGATATGGGGTGTGTGGATGGAACTGTGGATGGAGCAGCGCAAGCCACCAATAATCGCACTGTAGGCGCAGGCGTCCTGTTGCTGTCCTATGGAGGCCGCAGTGACAAGCAAATCCGGAATCGGATATCGCCAACATGTTTACCCACCTGCGAGCGCTACCAACTACAGGTGGGAGTTAAGTGGGGCGCATGAATCCGACAAGGCTTGAGGTGGGAGGCAGCAAACCATTGAGCCCCCGAAGGTGCCCTCACACCGTCAGAGACAATGCGTGGCGCTCGCGTTCTACGCCAATCGAGCTGTGAGGTTATAACCCGTGGACATGTTTTCTCCTACGGCTAGGTTTTAAAGAACGTGGGCCACCGACCTATCACTAACCTCCGAAGAGAATTGGACTGTGAGACTGTTAGTCTGAGCCCTGACCGTTGACCTGTCTGGCATGAGTTGCCCTGAAGGCACTTAGAAAGTGTCATCCAGCGTAGCTCAATGGGTCACGGAGATACGCACAAATCAACGCACCAGGTTAAGCTCCGGGCTTATCGCGACGGATATTGACGACCGGCTTCCTTTGTCTATGAGTATAAGTAGTTTTTATGACTTTATCTTTGTCTGGATAACTGTTTCATCTAGCACTCCTTCCTCCTGCATGGTTTTCTGCTCCAAGTTTAGGTTGCAGATTCACCCATAGCCTATTAAAAACTGAGCGCGTTGGAGGCTGGATAAATGAAGCTTATCATTGTCCGCTTCATTCCACAATGGTTTTACCGCCGTCCTTACTCAGACTGATGGCCCATGGATGGCTTATGAAAAACCTGGGGACATCGGCAGTACGGATGAATGGTACTTTGACCGTTTCCATCGACAATGCTACTCAATCCGTTTTAACCTAGGTTGTAAACTCATCGGCGGTCTATGGAAAATATGAGCAAATCGGTGAGTCAGGCAAATTAGCTTTAGCACTACCGTCCTCGATTACTTTATATACGGTACTCAGATAGATGAAATATGCACGTGTTCATACGAGTCGCGGACATATTGGAACACTGAACATCGGAGATTCATTTACTAATCCATCCAAATTATGTAGCGAATTCCATTTCCCTGTGTAAAGCACGTCGTTTATTGCAACTGATGAGGGCGGCCCCGAGGTCAGCTGCAACTGTTGTCTTGACGACCCACAAATTCCATGTGGTCAAATTAGTGTCATATAGCAGTAGTAAAAACTTTTACGTTTCTATATACAGGCTATCTTATTCCCTTATTCTTCCTCCTTATTGAATACACGGTCTAAAGGACGTTCAACTCTACCGGCTATTTTCATTTCATCTGAACAAAAATAATGACGAAAGCAACAATGAGAAAGTAAATACCTTCTATTTCGCAAAATAATACAATGTCAACTTGAATTCCCTTTGAACTCTATAATCAGAATAGCTTCGCTGGACTTGTTCGGAAGAGAACGAATCTTAGCATTGTTATAACTATATCTACCTTTTCAGTTGTGTATTAGGTAAAAAGTTGATTGCTTTAGCTCGATAATCCGATTATTTTCTGGGTGTTTCAAGCAAATACAGCGAAAATACACTAAGGCCAGATAGTTGGCGAAATTGTAAATTTCTTCCATCCCCATAACGTTGGAGGATAGGCTCTACCTTTATAGTGAGTGATAACATGAGCTCGCATGTCAACCACATGCAAACGGACTCAACCAATCCCAGATAAAACGGATACATTCGAAATCTCGTGGGCGAAATTCAAGGACACCCACGCGATTCTCTTGTCTGGTAGCTCAACACCATGGACAGTTGAATTCAATACCTCGATGATCTTAACAATTGGCTCCATGTCAAGAAATCTGCTAAGTGAAAGACCCCATTTTGGCAGTTGATTAAGAGGATTTGTAACCGGGCCCGAAAAACCGATCGAGATGGAAAGAGGGAATACAAACAGCAGAATTTGTATTGATTCGAATCTGTAGTTGAAATAAGCTGTCAAGTTGCCACAGACCACAATGTGATGTACCAGCGCGTATACTAAGGATAACAATACTTACAAATGATCTTTCTAATGAACAGGCTATACGGTAACGGATTGCGCATGTGTTGGGAGCTCAAGCGTAGCGTCTGCACTTAGTCTGAAGAGATTACCAGACGTATCTTCTCTTCTATATGAGATTAGTGCTCGAACATGGCTCACCTGCCTACTGTCAGTGGCCATGTGCAAAAATTGGAACGGGTTAAGCATGTAGCTTCCAAGTTCCCCAGTTCAAGTGGCATGTTGTACGAAGACTGATGCAAGAGCATTGAGGCTGTGCACCCATTCGTATCGTCAGTTTCAAACGGGCCTCATGATGACGCACTAGGTATTACGTCTGAATGACTGCCCTATGCTGAGGCCGCTGCTGCACGTGCGAGCGCAAAACAGCATTGACGGGTACGGGTAAAAGCAAGCAGCTCAATCTCCATGTTTCAAGCGTCCAGTAGTGAAACATTGAGAGAGTTTATCAGATACAGTGGTCAAGGCGAAATCAACGTCTGAGTTCAAGAAATTTTTAGACACCTATGTTGCGAATTATGGACTTCGATAGAGAGAGAGAGCATAGCGCTAGAATAGAACGTGGAACATTGACACCGCGTGATGATAAATGACGATGTTACGTCGTTGCAAAAACAAAGGATGCATATCTTCTAGTTATATGTACAGTATTCCGTACTCCCGGAGTAATAATGTATCCCATTTGTCAGGAAAAACATTTTACATTTATTTACAAAACTCACTACCAGAATGTTACTTGAATGCACACTGGTTTGATTCACGATTAAAAAGTTGGAAGACAATGCTGCAAAGCTTCTGACAACGGTAAGTTGAATACAACAAGGTTCTGGAAAGAAAAACCAACCGTGACAAACTGTTTTTAGGTAGACAGCCCGCTTCTAATGCAAGTTATGCGGATCTGAGGTAGGCATATGAAAGACACATGCACATGCAAAACATTCGTTAACGCCATTGCTTCGTTTGAGTTGTTAGTGACAAAGGTGACTGTGCAACGTAATAGGCGGATGAGGTCAATTCAACCTTTTCAACTAACCAGATGGAGAGCGCATGCTCCAAAAATGCTCATCGCATACGTACCTGGAAGACTAGTGCCAAGAGCCACGAAAGTGGTCGCAGTGACAGCATCCGTGAGCCCCACGGAGCATCCGAACGAGGAAGCCATGTCACCGATAATGGCGGTAAGGACGCCAATGACCAAAATGCATACGAAAAAGCACCACCAACCACCACCATAATCTGTCGATAATGATAACAAGAGAAATTACAAATTGAAAGCGGGAATGGGAGCTAGAAAGAGGGATGAAGAGTAGCGTTACGAATAGTCAGAAAAATCAATTTGGTGACTTAAGCCGTTGGTAGATGCGGCATACTACAGCCCATAATGCAACATCGCCTAGTAGAACAAGTAAACGAAGAAACGATTTGGTGCTCACCGAAAGTGAAGCACTGAACTTGGAGATCAGCTCAACAGAAAAAATTAGAACGTGAGGTGTGAAGATAAATACTCAGAGAATGCAAAATAGTATTTGAATGAGTAAACAAGAGGATCTAGCAAAAGCGAAAACAGAAATTGATAACACGTTTGATTGGTGTGAAACCGACAGGTATATGGGGAAAAAGAACTTCATGGACAAGTGAGAACCAATTCACACTACTTGTTGCTGCAGTTATGATAGATGAGGGAACCCGAAAGCAGTGGGTTGACGGTTGTAGCACACCTTAATAACGAAGAGATCAGTAGTCGAAGTATAGCCAAAAAGGGATTCAAGATTCCAGTTTTCCATCGCAAAGTTAATTGCCAGCATCGGTTTTATAAATCTAAAACGGCATGTACACAAACATTAGATCTTCAAACGCTTGGCAACAATAGCGCAGATTACAGAAAATCTACCACGGACTCAGGTGAGATAGGTAACGTCATCCGAAGGCGAAGGCAATGATGGGCATCGCAAGGCGAGGACAACTCATAAAATATACCGGTCAAGACATACAATTGGGAAAAGCTGCGTTCAACAGTCAGTGCAAAAAGTTAGAATCAAACAGACTTTTGCTAGGCAGGAATACCAAAAGGCGTCAAGACACCATCTCACTCGCAGCAGCAAATGGCTGCAAAATAACTGATCGTGAAGTGAATAATGGATGATTACGCACTTCCATCAAGGTGGATAGTAAATCGCTAAGCTTGAGCGTACCGCTAACCCAGTCGATAAAGTTGATGGTGTCCAGTTTGAGCTCCGTGACATACAAAAATTTATAAAATGCAAACATCATCGGCCACGGTGGACCAGATAATGTACACCATGTGCCTGTCAAGATTGGAAAAGTTTATATCATTTACCACTGTGGAAAACGTTTGATATATTCATAAATCTTGGGACCGGACTAAAACAAGGGAAACCAAACAGAATTATCAATTCACTTTAGTTAACTTGAACAATGGTGATCCGGGCACCGAAACACGGTGAATCCAGTTGCCACGGCCAACGTCGCCAGAATAAAAATAGATAACAAAAAAGGGAAGTTGAACGCGAAAAGAACACAAGGAAAACGGAATCAAGAAAGAGTTGCGTCCAATGAATGGAGAAAGGATGAAAAATAACAGCTATACACAAGCAGGAGCTCCACAAGCTGCATCGTTGAAAACTTTGAAGAAGGTTCGACAAATGACAAACTGTAAGCATCGACTCAATGTTCCACATAGTATTAACTAGAGGGGTAAGTCTAGTCAACAGTCACACCTTTCGTCCAGCAAAAATGGAATAAGTTTGTCGGGTCAAAGAGCCTTGCTTCTTTTCAACACGGCAAGCGCAAGTCGAACCTCTTCCGAAAAGGGAGGTGTGATATCAGCCTGGCAATTAAGCCCAAGTGATTCAGCAAACGGTAGGGCCGCAGCAGACCTACTGAAACTCTATAAAATGTTCCGCCAAAAGGGCTAGCCGACGAAACAGAGAACGGATCAGCCATCAATCTTTCTCGGTTGCTGTCCAACTAACCGATGGCTTAGTCAGATCCGTATTCCAAATGAGCTGGAATAGAACGGATGTTCCGAATAGCACTGGTTTTCTCCATCTCACGGGACCTGGCCAAACACCAACGTTACCGGCCAATTCGAAGGCTCATGTCAGTCGTCGTTTTAGGGCATTAAAGGTACGCGAACACACAGTACCCATTGTAATCTGTTCCTGTGCATCCATCAAACAGATCGATGCCTCAAACATCCATTCACAAGTCAGACGCCTCAAGTTGGGCGCACAACATGCGCTAAAAGCATTCATCATGGCTCACAAACCGCATTCCACACCCACAATTGGTGGACTAACACGTCAAGATATTGTCGAACTGAAAACTGCAAGTTACAAGAGTAGAAGTTATGCGCTTCTATAAAGCAGGAACAGCAAGCAAAAACTGCACGTGCAACAGAGCATCGTCGGAATCTAGACACATACTCCAAATTGACCGACAGCCTTGGGCTGATGTATGCCACTTATAGCCGATGGCAACATGATCAATTTGGGTCCAGGGTATCGAGGAATTCAGTGGATGCCAGGTGACAAGATGTAAGCGTTTGTACTGGAAAGCCGTGCGGCTAATATAATGATTGTGGTCGGCGCAGTTGCAGTAATCGATCACCATTGTCTGTTAGGCGTGCACCGACTCCGAAACTGCCTCCCAAGTGTTGTTCACAGTTCGAAAGTTGACCCACCTGGGCATTCATGACAACAACAACAATCACGGTGCTAATGTTTTTCGCCATACGAAGAAGAGATGAAAGATGGTCGTCTTTGATACCTTCCGAACTGCACTCAGTAGGTGTATAAACGGAAGCGACAAAAACTCACCTTGCCTTCAGACAGCGTTTCCTAGTCCTAATAGAGGTTATAGGGTGAACAGCATATATGGGGTTGTTCACTAGGATTCAATCAGTATGTTGGCTGATGGTGATACCGATACTATGAATGTCTTGTGCCCTGGACACAACGTCGTCCACATGCAAAGAATATAGTTCATGTCGACAGACTCAGAAGTAGGGAATCGACGATTCACCGAAATGCTGTTAAATTGCATGCGTGTTTGGGAGATAGTATACATCAATACATCAAGAGGGTAAATAGTGAGAGTTAGTGCTGCCTGCTGGCTGGAGAGCCCGCAACACAAGCCAGTGAATAACCGATTTTGCATAACATGCTATCTGGAATTACCAAATCATCAAACTGCCTCACATGAACAAGATATTTAATAGAACACCACATGGAAAACCAATATTAAAAATGGGTTCCCATGAAATCGGGGAATCTTGTATGTATGATTTATGTCTAACTTTACAAACTGCACACAGGTAGTACGGACTACTCAGGAACACAAATTTGAGTACACAGCTTTCACTTACGGTGCTGTACAAGACAGTGTGCATAAGCTGATACTGTGCTTAACACATGTTAACGGTGTGACGTGGCAAAATTCTGCACACCACCTCTCTTTGCCGACAACCTCAACACTGTCCATAATTTCCATTCTGCAACCATAAATGGAGTTGTTAACAAGATCTAGATGGACATTCTTATACTGGAAACTTCGTGCTGCAAGTGGAAAGTGCCATTTAGGCTTTTGAAAAATGCTGCGAAATTTCTTTTGAATGAGGCTTAACACGTAGTGGTCTGATTCTTGGTGGTAAGCCAATTAGTCGTTGGCGCATCAAACTAGATTTAGTGCTGCGATGTTCACGTTCGCTTAATTTTTCTGAACATGTGGATTACATCGTAACAGAGGCAAGAAAGGCCATCAGGATGATATCTACGACATTTATTTTAAGAAGATACACTGTAAACCCATGAATACATTCTCACCCTTTCTAGAATATTGCGCAATGAGGTACACAAACAAACGCGACTGCATTGCGTTAGATCAAGTGTAAAAGGAAAGGTGACAGCACGCATCCTTGTCACAAACCGCTAGAGGTATTGAAGAGCGGCGACACCTGCCTATAAGCACTCGCTCTGATAATGTTAACGTATTTTTCGGGCACACCTTTCCTGAGCGGACAGTCCCAAAGGGCAAATCGATCAACCGAATCGAAGGCATGTTTGTTGTCGAGGTACACAGCTACGGTGGATCGATCTTAAATATGGTGGAGCTCCGACAAATGACGCAATACACCCGCGAGTTTGGCGAAACCCGCTTGCACCTCACGAATCTGGCTTTCACGAGTGCCGGTAAATCCTTGAAGAACGAGAGAGGGGAGTATCAGAGGTAACTGACCGCATACTGTTCGCTCTATGATTGCTGCATTCGGAACGTGAGTCTCCTTGAAAATTGGGACAATGAAGGAGCGGCTCCAGTCTGCTGCAACAGTTTCCTGCTTTCACAGTTTCATACGTAAGTTATGCAGACCTTTACAAGAGCAGGTCGCGCGAATTTGAAGGGAGCTGGAAAAGGTCGATTTGATCCTAAGGCCTTGTTACATTGACACGCTCTGATCTCACGTTCGACTCCTGCGCGTGAAGGTGGGTCAAGGTGAACGGTCCAGGGAAAGGGCGACCGACGGTGAAACTATGAACCCTGGCTGATTAGGCTGCTTTTCACTGTGTTCGGCCCAACGCTTCAAACGTTCGGGCAAACTGTGGACTGACTGTCCACTCTCGTCACATATGGTCTCGTCAAAATAAGATTCCTTCTGCCCGATTTGAGTTTCGAACAGAAAATGGCACGATGATAAACAATGGCAGCGGCGATTTCCATTTCCGATGCGCGAAGAGACCACCAGATTTTGCAGTCTCTCTTCAGGCCAGTACGCAGTTTCACCGTGAAGTCTTTGCGAGTCTCGTTGCGTACGCTACCAGATAAAATGTGTCGGCGAGCGTCTAATATTTCCAGAGACTGCGTAGAAACCCAATGTACAGTTTGGCAATTTCATTTGCCACATAAGAAAATGCCTGTTGCTGATGACGACTGGTGGGTATGCGACTAATGGCCCTCCGTTGTGTTTACAGAGCACTTAATCAGATCGGATGCCAGCCTACTTTGGCACGCAAGTATCAATGCGCTCACAGCGTCGCTGCATGTGCCCACCGAAGCGAACTGTGAGAGCGGCACAAACGGGTGCGTGATCACAACCCACGCTCATGCTCCATATCGAGTGATAGTTTGGACACATTCTATCCAGCAGTAGCTAAGCATGATGCGATCGATTTGAGTGCAGGGCCGGCCTGAGGCTGGTGGGCGTCGGGTCACTCTCCGACGGGTGCTATGTCGGAATTTAGTGCTCACGAAAAATAGACGAGCAGTTTCGCACAGGTGTAGCAACAGCTCACCGTTATCAATACGGAAGTATACACAGTGTTGACCACCCAAATACATCAAGGAATCGTTGAAAGGGAAATCGATTGTATTGCGTGGGCAGGATATTGCTAGGTTGCGCAGTCTTATACAGGAGAACGATAAGGGTTCTCAACCAAAGCCTTTGGTTCAAAAACCTTACAGTACTGGGCTACAGAGAGTCCTCTTCACAGAGCAAAGAGGCACGTTTACTCCAACCCCCAACCGGGAGGATCAGGAAACTGAGTTGGTCTTGCATATAATTACTGACCAATTTGGTATGAGTGATGCTGTAGGCGCAATCATCACCACTAAACATAGTTCAATGGATCTCTGAAACACGCAAACCTTCGTACTACGTTAAGGTCCAGTCTCGTCGACCAAGATGGCAATACTACACTCAGCCGTACACAACATATGATGATGATCATCATCAATACGTTAGCCGAGGGTGAGAAATACCCAACAGCAAATGTGCCGCAATACAAAAAAGTAAGGCATTAAGCAATGTAGACTTAAAAGCTATAAAATAGTGGCATAATGCTAATATCACATTTTGGATGGTTGTTGGAGGGGGAAGCTAACAAATGTCACTGAGGTCGATTCTTCGTCATGTTAGCTAGTGTACCCAGCCAAACGCGGTCATCATCTTTCGGTACGCAGACAGGCAGTTGGGAAACACCAACCGACGCCAACTTCGAAGTGAGGGACCAAGTCATTGCTTGGATGCAGTACAACATGAAATAAGAACTTAATGGTGGGATGCAGGTTGAAGCCCAACAGATCCGAAAATTCTCATCTTAAATGATGTATCAGAAGCTGGAGCGAATTACTAACCAAAATACGTGCCAACAATTCAGAGCAGGAATTCCGCATAAGGGATAACACATTCGTAACTGTACAAAAGATGACCAAACTATCAGAATATTCCATAACGAAAACAAACCGAGCGTACAAGCAGGGTTCAGGACACATATGATACAGCATTCCATTTGCAATATATGTCGGTTAAAGAAAGAGCCCAACACAATACACCACCATATTTTACAACATAATCCTCGATTTCCCTCTTAATGGGACGTGTTAACCCAATGTTTCAATCAACAAGTGTGTGTTGGAAAAGTTAGTCAACACACTCCTATTTTCGATTCGCAGGTTCACCGTTTATTCACATTTTACTCGGCCATGTTATCCTACAGGTTCCAGTTTACATGTGCGCGATTAAACGGATGCTGACAAATACTTTCATCTTCAGCGCAGCATTACCGTTTGCACTTATTAAGCAGTTCCGCTCGTCCTAGTTTTAAATAGGTGCTATAAACAGTATCCGATACATTTGATTGGACCTGATCATCTAGCGTTATAATGGAAAATTAGTTAATTCCAACAAGCGAGATTCATACTTTAAACATTTCTATTCTGTACAACAATAAATTTCGCAGTGGATATTGTCAGAAGCTGTAAATATACCCTCTTGGGTATCAAAAGCTTATACTGACTTGAATTGAATGCATTTTAATCATATTTTTGCAAGACAAAACGTCAAACCTCTTTGTGAGCCCCGACAAGAATAAACATTTGCTGAGATTCACAGTGCCGCGCAGCAAGAATGGCAGCAATTCAGCCGCTCTGAATAAAAGCAGATCGCTGGGTTGATAACAACATCATGATATCATACTTGGAAAAATAAGCCTGACAAAGAAGCTAAGATTTTCACCAATTTGAATGGGGTGAAAATAGCATCTTCAGTAACCCATTGTCCCACCTCGTATCCACAAACGAACACAATATCCGCACAATGTAACCTGACCCTTATATGGAACAACCTCTGGTTTGAATGAGAAGTAGTAATTGCTTACTCTTTTTCAAACACTACGCGTGCATCCAACCACAGATATCTGCTAAATCGAGGAGCCACTAAATACCGACAATAGAGAGCGAGGAGGTTAAAAAAAATATATGTTGCTCCATCGGGCACATGCGCGGAATCATGTCGCCGATTGCTGCGCGGTGGAAAATTATAGCAGCATGTACTACATGTTATCCGGGTGTGATACGCTCCATATACCTGTAGTCCACAAAATGGGCATCTAGGAATCACTTAAATTCCGACACCGATCTCTCCTCGACTAGCGTCCCCAGCAACTTGGTGCAATATTTCACCACACGACGATCGAAGCATAGAGTGTGAGCGATGCGCCTTAAATCCAGTACCAGTAGTTTGTACCTGGGTCCGTGTGTGCTTCCTGGTGCGCGAACGTGCAGTCGTTTGACGGGTTCTATGTCGGAAGGTCGATCACGGGTGTGTCCGTTTACTTCATGTTGGTGAGGAGAATTAACCAGCGTAAGACTGAAAATCGAACAAGCTGGGTGGAGACAAAAGATCCTGATCCGACTCGCTCAGAAGAGATGGATAAGTCGAAAGTAAGGAAAAGAAGCAGTAAGACCTAAAAGTAACAGGAGACATTAGAGAGAAATAGGCTTGACCAGCAGTCACTGGTTCAATCAACAGGAGGCTGATCAGATAATAGCTGGATTTGCACACGATGAGGCGAATATTCAAGTTCTAAACAGGTGGGTACGCTCGAGGTCACCGCGCAGTAGCAGCATACCCTATATATCTGAGGGCCAACGCAGTGTGCAGATCAACGAATGAAGATCGAGGAAACCGGTCAAAGACGAATGGAAGAAGAGAGCGGAAAAGTTGGAAAACAGAAGCCACTGGTGTAATACTCCCAAAGCAGATATCGTTTTCGAATGTGTTAACCTGATAAGCGATTCGCAAGTCGGATTTGCTAGACCCGATTTCTAGATAACCATTTAAAAGTAACAGAAACTGAAAGAAGTCACTGTGACGATCAGCCAAAAGAATACAAGTGAATCACTCGCGAGGCATGAGTTTATCGCTCATGGGTAAATACAAGCAATTAGAGGGAAAGTAACTAGTAGGAAAAGCAGCGTCCCCGGAATAACAGTGGGATTAGTAGAGAATGCGCAACAAAGTCCAAACAGTAAGCAGAAAATTGAACTTTACAGAGCCCAGACAGACTGTAATAGCTAATGGAATGAAAAGTACATAATTAACGGAGCGTGAGCTTGAAGACACGAAGAAGAGGAACTCACTTTATTAGCCTGCAAGGGAGGTAGACATGCAAGCCGCTTTTTCCTCAAATGAAACCTGTTCCCGAACACCTAATCATAATGCTGATGATTTATGTTTTCAAAGACAATATCTAAGCATGGAGAGTAAACCGACAGTATTTCTCCGCCAAGCACACAGCGATGGGAGGCTTGTTTCAGCGAAAACGGCCAAACTACCAACGGTGTAATGAGGATTGACAGCCACGGGAAGCAAGTTAGGCTGGCTGGTGGAGTAACTGGAAAGCGTGGTTTCACAACAACAAAGCCAATGGGAATTCACGTTGGTTAACCACAGCTTTTGCGGGACAAATAGAGGTTTCAAAGACTAATGCACCGCAGAATTTCGTTGCCAATACGGCATGTGCGGGTTAAGTTTAGGGACCAAGGATAAAAGAAGATGGTCTTGTCTCAGGGAACGGTAGAAGTTGCTGCGATGGGTAGTCAAAAATGGTGGAACAGGTTGGTGTGAATTCGTCCATATGGAGCTGTAATTTGTCTAAGAAGTAATCCCAAATAATGCACGAAACACTGGGTAGATAGTTGTTATCAGTGGGAGCCTCGGTGTCATCTGCTGGCAAAAGTACAACTCTGAAGGGCACATTCAGTTACACACCAAATAAAGTTGGTCAAGAAACGATGCATACAGCGTTGAAAAGAGATGACAATGGATGATGATGAGCAGATGTAGATCGCAGACATAAGAAACACCAGGATTTGACAGACACAAAAATCTGTGAAACACCATAACCTAAACACTACAGAACAAATGGAGATACACTTATACATTCTTATGAGAATGTTTTAAATTAGGTAGATAGGTCAGAGAGATACATGTCGGTGGTGATCATAAAGGTAACTGAAAATAGCATTGTCAAATAGTAGAAAACGGCGAGGCGGAATAGCTTACCAGTAGGGGGGACAAACGCGAACATAACTTTCCAGAACACCGTCAAAAAGTGCATTACATAATCTGTGCAGGACGGCAATTTTTCGCCTTCAGTCCCAGCTGCATCGTCACTGCCACCTGCAGAAGGAGAAATCGAAGGTGAAAATAGCATGGCGAGGTTACGAGACAGCAATCAGACAGAGATCTGAAAGGAATAGCAAAAGGTTAAGTCCTCTATGCAGCCCGTGGCTTGGTTGCGGCACCACATAGAGCCCAAAGGAGGCATGGACAACTCATCACATCCATTTCATGTCATGACAATCTACTACAAGGAATGATGGAGGTAGAGCCGTTCATCGTCAAGCTGAATTTTGCAGAAGGTTAGACTACGCATCATATCAAATAAGAAGAGATAGAATGGAAAGCTAGACGAACCAGCGCTGACGGTGAACGCCTCAACGAACTGTTCCTTCCAAGACGAAGTGCCAACGACCAAGGCCCACTTGCCTTGTTTGACCAAGCGGTCAACCGTGTTCTAAAAAGACCGCAATACACGTTCATGATAGGAGACGAGAAGAACAATGGATCATGATGTAGTCAGATAATGAAATTGGATTACAGGTGTACACACACCGGATATGACTAACATTGCTGAAATGGGAGACAGAGGCGCCCCGTTGGTGGATCAACCAGAAGATGCAACAAATGACACTAAAAAAAATCGGCTCTAACGTAGCAATGACAGAAATTCCATCCCACAGGAGCCGGTAAAGAGTGCACTGCATAGTACAAAAATTCAATGGGCAAAAATTGTGCTGAAACGAAAAACACAACGGTCGATAAAAATCAACCGTAACGGTCTCTGGTATTATAGGTGTAGTACCAGGAAGTGTAAAAGATCATGTGAGCAAGGTCGTAATAAAAACCGTCGTGGTGAATCTCGACAGAAATGGTCAACGGAAGTCTGTTCTTGTATGTCTACAATGCAGCGGTCCGTTCAACCCTCCTATACGGTTGGGAAACCAGGCCCATCAAGTCGACGGACAGAAAGAGGCTAGCTACGTTGGACAATCGCTGCCTTCGCAGCTTAGCACATGTCTGGTGGGAGCATCGCGTGATAATTGAATGTGTTCAGCATTGGAAGAGGAACTGAACCGCTCAGCTCCAGTACATCACGCACCAGGCTCCGATGGCTAGGCCAGGTGTTGCGCATGCCAGCACACCGACTTCCGGGACGTGCGTTGTTTGCGTGTCCGGGGTCTGGATGGAAGAGAAGGAGGGGAGGCCAAGCAATGACTTGGTCAAGAGGAATGAAAACCCTCACTTCGAAGTTGGCGTCGGTTGGTGCATCCCGACTGCCGGGTTGGGGTCCGAAGGACGATGAACACATTTGGTTGGACACACACGCTGACACGGCTAGGAGCCGGTCCCAATGGCGTTTGTGCTGTGTTTCTTTGTCCACCTCCGCTCTTTTAGCTTCCCCTTTAATCGCAATCTCATACCAAATTAATAATATTATATTTGGCTTTACGTTACTTGATATTTTTAATGTTTTCCTGTTAGTTTGGTATCCTATCTTTTGTATTGTGGCACGTTAGCCGAGGCGTGTTTCCCACCCTTAGCTGACGTGTACTGATGATGACTATTTTATTCACACGTATTGGAGCCATGGTGCTAGAGTGTCAGAATAGAAGCATCATACCTTTGTAAGCTCGCGAGCCATACGCATAGGCTTTGGATGACCGAGAAAACAGAAAGCGGAAGGAACAGAAGTGTGTTTCCAAATCGTAATGCGTCTTTCTTAAGGCGATTTTAATCCAAGTCTATATGACAATTAGGACGTGCACATAAGGCAACGATGAGATAGTGGACAGAAGAATGGAAGCACTATTCGCACCAACGCAAAAAGCGCCGCATTGTTTAGAAGCTGCGAGCATTTCGACCAGAAAGCAGACTAAATATGGTGGATAGTAATCCCTTATAAAAAGTTAACTTGGTAATAGCATTAAAACTTGCGCATCGGAAGGTAACAGTTGAGCGAAACAGCAATTCCCGTTTAGGTGTGACAGTGTAAACAGAATTCGCCATAGCACAGCAGCAGAAATCGTGATAGCTACCTTGAACTCATAACTTTCGATGATATTCACTCGAATCACAGACCATACACCCAAACGAGGCTTCCCGGTTTCGAACGGTATAACTGTCCTCTTGAAATCGTCTCTAGCAGAAGGCGATTTTCCGTCGTCAGGGATTGCTACTTTCTCCAATGAAGTGTCCACGTTTGAGAAGCGTCGAGTAATCCGAGCCAACAGACCGGGTTGTGCTTTTGCGTGGAAATTGACAGTGAGGGAGAGTGAGTGGAAAAGAAGCCAGCGAAAAGAGAAGTATGCCATATGTTAGTGGTTGAATCAAAACAAAAAGGTGCAATCAGGAGTCGGTACAGTATGTTGAGGGGATAGGGTGGAACAACATAGAAAACAGCAGTGGAATAAAGCGGTATAATTACAAGTATAGACACAATGGATGGACCACAATACAGTGGAAAACAACGTAGGAACTTAAATTAGGTGTGCGGGGGAGTTGAACAAGTAATAATTTGGAGTGGTGAAAAGTAGAGTGCTTGTGAGAGGGAGGCGTTTCCCACACAGACGCCCGGTCTGATAATGCGGAAGATGGGTAGTGTGTGGGCGACTCCAAGTAGAAAAAGGTAGACGGACTAATAAGTGTGGACGATTGGGGGAACGTTTGACATCTATCCGCTGGACACGTATCGTACCAAGCCTGAATTGGGCATATGGATTGTGACGGAAAAGAGGTTCGACTAATGTGCTTTCGTTTTCTTGGAGAGAGCTAGAAAGCTAGAACAAGTGTCAGTTGCATTCGATCAATATGGAATACAGGAATTCGACACCACCCACAGTGTGAAGATGACCGGGATTTCCAAAGCATATTAGCGAGATACGAATTGGCGAGGTGATTCTATGTGATGTATTCTGCATAGTGTTAATGGCTGCAAGAGAAGCATCGCCAAAGTGTACACTGTGTAAGCCAGTAGCGCGTGCACGTTACTTCTCACAGTCTGTCATGAGTCCCATATACAAGCCTTTCTATCAGGTGGGTGAATTCAGAGGCAGTTGTACACACACTGGTAAGGAACGCAACTGATGATGAGCTCAAGTAAAGATACGAGACTAAGTACGTGAGTGCACAATGAAAAAGGCAGTCTAAGCAACAAATGAGAATATGAATGAAGTGAAGCAACGTGGACAATATTTAAGCTTTTTGCTTCCCTAGCTGCATTGAGTCGCATTAGGTCACATGCAGGCGCGGAGTAGAGTTGCGACAATCGGTTACTGTTCTAACTGAGGTGGCCGTAGACTCTGGTGTAGCAGCATTTACGCACCATAACTTCGCCAAAGTTGCTCGAAAGTAACCGAACAGAGTATGAGGCTGGAATGAGGATGCTAAACCGAAAGTTTTGGACTAAAACTAACGTCAAAATGATGAAGAAACAATGCAGCTGAGGGCATTCGAACACATCGATGTACTCGCGTCAAACAAGAGACTAAGAAATAAGACAGGATCGTGGACGGGTAGAACATGACTCAGCAAGCGGGAAAACAGTCACCAAGTGAGGCTGGACAAAAAGGTAAGATTGTGGACAATCCCCGACGCCAGTATATTGTGTGGCATCCCGTAGCCTAGAGGTAACGAGCTTGTCTCATAATCTGGCGGCGCGGGTTCGAGCTTGTGTAGGGAAAGGACGACTCTCGCAGTATCCTTAACCAATGTACGACCGGTGGTGGTCGCGTAGCAGCGAAGCTTTGGTACGGCGCACCGGCGTACTGCTGATGCCCTTTGCCGTGACGGGTATTGCCCATAGCTCTATTGGTGGTTTCAGGAAGTTGATGAATGAATAAGGTCTAAGAATAAGGTTAGACATGTTCCAGATACGACAATGAGCAGTAGATGGTAAAAAATTTTCGTGCGGATGTACATGGTGATAGGGAACTGATAGGAAAGGGGACGCCAGAGCTATGGGCTATCACGGAGCTGACTTGATATGCATGGAAAATGTTACTAGGTAAGGACGACAGAGATGTGTGTGGGTGTGAAAGATACGGTGCGTATGTATAAAAAGCGGACGAAAGGATGAGAGGAGATGAGAGTATGTGGAGGCGCCGCACCACCACATTCCGTGTGCGGCGCAGTGGACTTACGCGAAAACTCGTCCTCCGATTCTCCTAACAAGCAAATGCGCAGTAGTAGTTCATTTAGAGATGCAAATCAACAAAGTGTAGATTCATGACGCCAGTCGCTTGGCAGGTGAACAGAGGGTGAGGAAAGTAAGAAAAACAGCTAAGACCAGAAACAATGGATGATAAGTAAAATTATCACGGACAAGTGAAGATAGGATGAGGACAGGCAGCAAATAAACAGTAAAAATAGTGTAAGGCACCGATGCCGATAAGACACTTTTCGCTCAGGTTAGGCTACAAAGTGGGGAATAAGCCCGTTTGGTTATAGTGTTGCAGTGTAAAGAGTATCGAGAATTCAGTATGGGAAATAGACTTAATGAAACTGAAGGGTATGGATGGAGAACGAGAACGGCTGTTACGAACGAAAGTAGACGTCAGTGGAGTGCCTTAAACAAAGTTACAGTGAAACCCATCTAAGCGGCAAATAGGATCACACTGCGCGAGCTCAGGGGGAAAGATGAAAAACAGTATGGTTGTGTTGTACGTGGATTAACCTCCGCTTCTTGTGATCTGAGAGTCAACTTATGCAGTCATCAGTTGTCACTGGGGTTAGACCAGACCTATGTAACAATCATCAAGATCAGCGAGACACGCCGTTGTAATTGAAGGTTACATTCGGCGCTGTGTATTGTTCGAAAGTTGCAACACGACAGAAACTGTCTATTTACCCCAGACTAGCCCTAAGTCGGACATCCGGCGAGGTATGTGCGTGTGCCAAGCCCGTTGCTTGCAAAGCCAGTTCTCAAGCCTGCTCCCCTAACAATTGAACTAGTCGCAGCTTGTCGGTCTTAAGTTGGCATCTAACTGTATGAGGTTGAGCCACAACCTGCATGTCCCACTAATGAGCTCTTCTTTGCGCCGAGTTTGCTCTCTGACAGAGTAAAAGCTGTATTTTGCAGAGGAATGAACACGACCGTGCGGTCACATACGACAGTTCTGTTTGATGTATGTGGATACAGCAAGAAGCTTCCAGAGTATTTCCACGTTTAACAGAACGTAGTTCCACTAAAAAGACTTATACATAACCAGTAGAGACAACACAGAGCACGAATGGCAAGAAAATATTATGGGCAAATGCGACAAACTTCGTGTCTCTGCGGCTGCAGCATAAAACAGTAGCTTTGACAATCTACAGAACACTGCATCTGTGAAAAGATATATCTCAGAAAGGCATGCTCCAAAACGCTTTCATATACGATCTACGTTGTTTGACGCAACTACTGAAACAGGGAAAGTATGTGATAAAGGAAGTGAGATTGCCATGGTAATTGGAAAAGTCAGAGTCAATCCAAGCTATCTGCCCTGTTCAACTTATTGACTAAAGTAATAATGACTATGTTCGGATGGCATACTATACGAAAGGGCTACTGCGAGGTAGTCGTTTATGAGTTTCCGGAATAATGAAGATGTACTTAAAGTTCAAAATCAGAAACTTGGAAGCAATAATGCAACTCCAGGGTGCAGGGCACAATGCTAGGGGCAATATAACCTAACAATAACCCGTTAGACCGCTAAAAACCGTCTGGAACGAGTTAATAAGTTCACCCGTTTAGATCAAGGTAGTAACTCGGATGGTAGCACTGTTGGTGCTCACAACGGACACCAACTGCATAAGATTGAGACCTGGGAGTAACACTGTGTGGACTGATGTGCAATGATGCAATCCGACTAGATGAGGTTGTCGGTTGGACGATTCGTAATGCAGCTGACCAGTTGGTGCTTGCAGTAAACTACGGAAAGACTGATAGGTGGGATTCAACTACAGCAGCCTGGTTATATGGCTCACCCTGTGCGCTCTGGTAACAGGCGAAGGTCCGAAGTCTATTGGGCCGACCCGTAGCCTAGAGGTAACAAGCTTGTCTTGTAATCCGACGACGCGGGCCCGAGCCTGTGTAGGGGCAAGGCGACCCACGCAGTAATCTCAGCTCACGTGCAGCCGGTGGTGGTTGCGTGGTAGCGAAGCGTCGGTACTGTGTACCGGCGTGCTGCTGATGCCTGATGCCCAGTTTCTTGGTGAAGTCATGGGGGAGAAGAATGAAGAAGCTAACTGGAGGCCTGAGTTACATAAGCTCACTAGCTCAGATGTTTCGGTTTTGCTCCTAAGAGCATTGACACCCCACGACCAGTTTCGTCCGAGGTTGGACTCATCAGGTAGATTCAGACTGAGCTGGGAGGGGAACTCAAGCTTTATCTAATGGACGCATTGTGTAAGCATGAGCGAAACGGCAAGATGACTGGAACTGGAGGAGAAAAGCGTACGATTAAATGAAGAATACAGTTGGTTGAGAACTAAAGTAAATACTGCCGCCGTAAAGCGTTTAGGGATTGTGGATAGCAGCTGCAACCACCGGATGACTTGTGGAATGGGTGATTAAGTTTCATTTAATGTGTGGCGAGATGCTGATGGGAGTATGAGCGAAATGACACATATTCGTATTGCAGATGCGTACCGAGACTGTTCAGTGATGTTTTGCTTGCTTGTAACAGTTCCTTTGAAGGCAAGTAAGCAGACTAGCAACGAAACATGAGGTCAAAGCACATCATTAAATAGAAACCACAGCATGGCTTGGCAACGTAGTCAATCTATGCTAGCGTGCAAATTCTCGCATAAAACGACTAGGTGCCTCGAGAGTTTGCTTGTCTAAAATCACATTTCATCTGAACGCATCTACACATAAACCATCATGTCGTTCAGTGACGACAATAACGGGTAAACTCTATCTGTAGTTGTGATGACACAGGGTTCACAGGATGTACCACAGCCAAAGGCGAACATTGTGACTGGGAGAAATAGTAGGCATCCTCTCAGTAATTTGTACTGTGGCTCCGGTGAAATACGGTCAACAAACATAATGGACTATTCCACTGGAAAGTGGTAAGAAAATGGAACAAAAGGGCCTCATGCAAAAAGAAAATAAGCAAGGACAGGTTGGACGGTCATTTGAAGCACTATGTGTGAATGAATTACAATGTGCAATCTCAACGAGGACCGCGATTCTCAATGAAGCGAAGTTTAGTCAATGCGATCACAGGGGCAGGTTGTTTACAATTCCCTAACGCCTGG